GGGAAATAATATTCTTATACGGTTGTTGTCAAAACCTGGCCTCTTAAGGTTGGGTGGCTTTCACCCCCCAGAATCCCCGGGCCAGCGTGGCGGGCGGGGGAATTCTGGGAGTTGAAGTCCACTCATCTTAAAGTGGCCAGGTTTGGACAACACTGTCCTACTACCTCTGAAAAACACTAGGCTGGGGAAACAGTCTATCAGGAGCCAAACTCACAGAACAAGGGCATCTTGGCCTTCCAGAATCAAAGTGGTGTGTTCAGGGACCAGCTTAGCTGTCCTCGCAATGTGGTGACACTACCCCAGACTCCACAGGGGTCTCAAACTCGTAGGCCGCACGCAGCCCACTGGATTCTTTTGTATGGCTCAAAAACTTAAACCACTGCCACCTTGCTTTACTGCCTTGTCTGGTGTGTGGGTGCTGTGCCAGCAGATGATGGCCATGCAGGTGTCCAGAGGAGACATTGCCAGTGACGTCACCATTTGTCCCTGCTACCTGGTACCGGAGGGTGTGCAAAATAGTTGTGATGTACAGGACAAAAGATCAGAGACTGCAGCCACAGAGATTTTATATTTTATTCTTTACAGTATACAACACATTTTAGCTTTTACTTGCCATCAATGTCATTTAATTAATTTTTAATTATTTTATTAATTATAAAAATATTTTTTATTAGTAGTTAATGTATTTTTGGTGCATTTTTGCCTGGATATGAGTGTGGCCCACCGATTAGCAACTTTATGTTATGTGCCCCCCCCATATTCATTTGAGTTTCAGACCCTGATCTATACAGAGGAAACAAAGATTGCATGGAGGGAAAGACAGGTGTGCATGTAATAATTACACACAATAATGAGAGAACCACACATTTTTCTTCATAAGAACTCCAGTTTATATTCCAAGTTATTTTTTTTAGGCTGCTACTCAGCATAGGATCCTTGGGCAATTCAGAAAAAAATAAAATACAACATGCCTTGTCCACATGGTCATGCCCCTTCCTACAAGGAGGACTGCTATATCTGGATGATCGAAGTATTTTCTATATCCTTTTGCTGCTACCCAATGGCCATCTGGATTTTTGAAGCCTAGATATGGCAGCCTTTGTGTATTGGGACAGTACGGTGTAACAGAAAATCTCAAGCAATTCAGATTTAGTCTCAAGCTATGATGGATGGCAGAAATAAACCTCTGTGCTTATTGTTCAAAGAATGGCTCTTCCTCCAGCTAGGTAGGATCCATGGCTATTAGCCTTGCCGGCAGTGCGACTGCCTCTGAAGGCCATCTGCTAGTAAACTAGAGAACAAGACTGCTGAAGCAGATGGCCACGGCCTTCTTCTGAGAACCAGTTGGTATAGTGGTGAAGGTGCTGGCCTAGAAACCAGGAGACTGACTTCTAGTCCTGCCTTAGGCATGGAAGCCGGCTGGGTGACTTTAGGCCAAGTGCTCTCCCTCTGCCCAACCCACTTCACAAGGTCCTTGTTGTGGGGAAAATAAGAGGAGGCAGGAGTATTAGGTATGTTTGCTGCCTTGAGTTATATATTAAAAAGTCAGGATAAAAATATAGTAATATAGGGGTAGTTTTCCATTTTGTTTTGCTTTTTTAACTTTTTGGTCTAGCCTAAAGCCATGGGATTATTCAGTAGTCTCCCAACCAAATATTAAGCAAGCCTAACCCTGCTTAGCATTTCAGAATCAACAGTTCTTATAGAAACGTTGCATTTAAAGCTTTATGCAGATGGTGACATGCTCTTCTTTGTTAGACATATCTGTCCATTTCTGAGTGGACAAGTTTGATAAAGTTTGCAGGAAAACAGAAGTTATTCCCAAAAAGGGTGTGTTTTGGAAGCTCCATCAGAAATAATTGTAGTTTATTAGTTGGCATCTAATCCCTCTCAAATGGCCCTTTTAATCTCTCTCTTTTTTTAGAGAACATAATGCCTTTACCCCAAGGAGCTGGCTACAGTTGCAGTATCAACAACCAAAATTATTGTAGTCACAGAAAAGTCTGAAAGAGTTGAACACTGACAGAATTAAGGTCATGCAAACACCTGCTACACTGTTCATATATACACATTTTAGAGTTTGTGGGAGTTGACCCTCCCAGAGTTTACAATCTAAAACTCAACACAAAGCAAACAACAAACTGAAGGTAAGAATAAAGAAGACTTTTCATGCTTAGGCGTACTATGTAATCCTGTGCATGTTATTTCAATATTAAATCCCATTGTTTCCCAGACAGATTTAGTGTGATTGACTGCATAGGCTGAGGGATTGATTATAAATTAATGCTTCTTAGCCATAGCAGATGCTTGAGAAGGGAGGCTAGCTTTCTTCCTACTCTTTCAACTGTGGCTATTCAGTAAACCTTTTAAGAAAATCCCAAAGGCACGGGTTCTTTCAAAGCAATTTTCCTCAATCTGATGTTTGCCAGATGTTTTGGAAAGCAATGGCCATCATTCCCAGCCAACAGACGGGCACGTGGTACTCAAAACTCTTTGAAAAGCAGTTCATCTCACCCCCCACGATTTTCCACGGGCACCTTCCTCCCATATAGAAATCCACTCCCCCTCCCAAGTTCACACGCATTTATGTCCTTCCATGCAGTTCTAAAGCATCATCTCCCTTCTCCATTCTTTCTACATATAGACGTATTTTTTTCCTGAATCCCTCCAAGCCTGGAAACAAAAATGCAGCCTCTCTTTCACCATGCGCCGCGATTTTAAAGCTCTCAGCAGTCCTGCTGTTATCTAAATATAGATCATTTCCAGAAGCAAAGCCAGGATCCCACGCACGAACTTCCCAAGAGTTTTCGAAGCTCAACGCTCGATAGTAATTCCTAGTCACCATCCTCTTCCTTTCCACGCCGGAGAAAGGCCAGCAGAGATCCAGGGAAGTGTAGAAGCAAAGATGGGAGTGGCGGGAGACAAACTCTCCAGGAAGCCCCACCGCGCGCTACAGAAAGACAGATCCTATTCACCTCGCAGGTCTCACCATTTTCCCCTCGCGCGGACGGCCGGGACCTGCCTGGGGAGCCCCGGCCGCGACG